AGATTAATCAAAAATCTTCCAATCGTGTTTCAAGGTTCTCTTAAACTGCAAACTTGCCTTGATTCAGTCTGTCATAATGGATGCGCATCAGCAGTTATCCAAAATTGAACTTGAGCTATATAAGCTTCATCTGGAACTCGCTAAGTCATATTCAGAATTCACTACCATTGAGCAAAAGTCTTGGTCTAGAACTGTGAGAGTGTGGTTAACCATCATAAAAATATCATTGCATTCTAATTCCAAAACCTTCTTTTACAGTCTTTCAGTTTAAGTAGTTCAAAAAAATCTTCACATTGTAAATATTAAGCCGGTAGTTAATATTTCTAGTGTTAGTTTGTCAGAAGAACCAGAAACTTTCTGACATACAAGTTTAACTTCTCACAAACCTCAAAAGCTTCAATTCCAAAGATTTTGGCTGCTATTGGAAAAGCTTACTAATTCAGTAAAGTTTCAGGTAACAGAAAGAAATGATTAGGCATCTTATCTTCCAAAATGTGAAGTTCAACAATACTTCTTTACCAAATCTAAATGCGCGAGAGAGCTGCAATGCACAAAATTCATTCTAACCCGGACATTATCATTTGTCATGGATGAGAAGACTTACATCAATGGTGTTCGCTAAACATGAAGGACCATATTATCCAATTGCTAAAGGGTCACTTTTGGACCTCTCAAAAATCAAAACTGCGATCAAATTTAGGAATTGTTACATTTCTTTGCAAATTCTTTCGACCAATCTAAAACAGTCAATCTGTTGCTACTTGTACCAGATTGCTCTTCCCAAAATTCATGAAAGTAGTATTCTTTTCCATCCTGTGTATCAAATTTATGCACTGTCTCATAGCCATTAGCTAAATATTGAAATGTTATTAACTTTTAAGGATGGGCATCCCATATACGCATTCCCTAAGAACTTCTCTTACAGCTGTGCATCCCATCCATGCATCACTAGAGATTACATTCAGAGGACGGGTGATGCGTATATGCATTTTAAACTGGAATGTTTTTCTGAAGGCCACTTAATGGCATCCTATGTCCATTATTTTTGAAATGAAGATGGTTTTAGATTCCTGACCTTGAGTTTGGTATATTCTGCTTGACTGGCATTTTACTCATCAGCTGTTGCAAGGATGGGGGTGGGGGAAAGCGTAAACAGAGGTGGGCTCTGTACTAATGAAAACATTTATGTGTCTGATTTATATGCAATTCCTTTTTTTTATTCTATTTTTCCGAGTTAATATATTCTGCTTGACTGGTATTTTACTCATCAGCTGTTGTGAGGATGGGGAAAAGCGTAAACAGAGGTGGGCGCTGTGCCAATGAAAACATTTATGTGTCTGATTTATATCAAATTCCTTTTTTATTCTATTTTTCAGTCTTTTAGGGTTACTCTGTTTGGAGTTCTTGCATTGCCTTCAGATATATTTCCGTTTCTTCTCTTTTTATTTAGGAAAGCCTCACCTCCAGCCTATTATGGTGGGAAGGTGCTATTTATCTGAGGAAGAATACCCTCATATAGTTAGTGAATCATCACTCTCATTTACTAATGCAAATGAGAGTGATGATTCATTTTCTAAAGAGTTAGAAAGTATTGTGTTGTTTTATTAAAAGTGTATTTTCATGTAAAATAAAGAAAAAATGTTAAGTGCTAATTTTAACATATATAAGAGCTCAAGTAATAATCTAAAATGATACAAAAAATTACGATGCTTAGTACCGAAACTTTTTTTTTTCCCTCCTGATTTGGGTAGGGGAATTGGGCTTAGCGATGCAAAACCTCCGTCCTGTATGGTGACTGCCTTCAATTCCCTTCCTTCCTGCATGAGCATCTTAAGCAAAAGTGTGCCGTCGCGAAAAGGCTAAAAGTAATATTTCTGATTATTTTTTAACATTTATAACAACTTTTTTACAGGGCATAAAATAATGTTTTGCCTGGAAGTTGTCTTCTCTCTCATGGTTGTCTGACAGGGAAGTTAAATTTACAGTTGTGCATATAAAAAAATGCAATGACTACACAATTATTTACAAGTACAGTTATTATATAATTATTTTCAACTACAAATACTACAACTACATTTGTTTTTCAAAAGTTTTAGTATGATATATCTTGAAACAGGGCAAGAGACATAGTCCAGTATCACAGTCCTGGCAAAAATGCCTAGTCTCCTTTCTGATTCTTTTGACAAGGTCTTAGTTTTTTGTCTGTAGGTGGAATTATCTCTAAAAATGTCTGTCAGTCTTAGTGGAGTTAGTAAATTTCCAGGTCGACCTTTTCTTTCTTCTACTGCTGCATATCTTTCAAATAGTCAGTCGATAATATCTAATTAAGACTGTAAATTTGTATCTTTACCACCCTGTTTCTTGTATAGCACATATGGGTTCCAAAAAACTGATGCCTAGAAGATGAAAAAATATTTTCTGTATTTTTTCTTTCCCTCTTTTTATCACAGGATAAGTATTTAGATTCTGGTCCATTCAATCTACACTACCCATTGTGTTGTTGTACTCCATAACTACCCTCTTTTCGTTTATCATTCTTGTACATGGGTACTTTAACCATTTCTGGATTATGTACTGTAGATATAATAGACTGGCTTTTTTTGTCCATCCATTTCATAATGCACACTTTTCCTCTCTGGTATGTGGCCATTGGCCATTTTTGAAGTTTTTCTTTCAACAGTGCTTTAGGAACTTCCTTTCTTTGGAGTTTTAATGTTCCATATATGTCTGTGTGGCAACTAATCAAGACATCTGCTATTTTCAGGCGATGAATAAAAGTTGTCAGGCAGTATCCTTTATATAAAAGTGGCTGCATTAGTGTCATTACAACTTGTGACAATTTCCTCAAATGTTTCTGTCATCATAGTTCGCTTTCCTGTGTAAATTAGCATAAGCCATACATATCCGGTCTTTGTTTCACAACGCATGTACGTTCCATGGGCAAACTTAATTAGTGTATTAATGGACTCATGTAACACCATGCGTGGGGAAAAAGGGTGTTGAAACCGGTTTATGATCAAAAAAAGCACCCCACTTATTAGATATTGATGGTGACCTATGTCCCACAGCTAATAACTGTGCAAAAATATTTGCTTCATGTTTTGATAGATACTTAGAAGATTTGTTTGATGACATCTATTTTGATATGAAAAGCTGCAGTAAAAGAGAAAATTTTTTCAAAATCTGTGAATCCCTTGCCATTAAAAAACTTAAGCCCTTGAAGAGACCAGACCATAGGTGGGTGTACATTTTATGTGTTTTAGAAAGAATCAAAGATCTGTGGGATGCTCTTATTGCATTTTATTTTCACTACTTGGATAAAACTGATAAAGGGGATTATTTTTCTTATGTTGAAACTGTATACAATAAAAGAAATATTTCTGCAGCTCAGAAAAAAATTGTTGAAGGGGTGTATTCTTACTTGCATTCCCAACAACTCACAAAGGATGCTTTAGCTCGGGGGAAAAAAGAATACTGAATGGGTTATTTGTTATGCAAAACAAAACTTTATTGCATATGGCATTATATTCAGCAGTATTACCAGAGTTCAACACGTATATTAAATTATTTGAAACAAAAAAACCAATGCTTCATTTAATACATTCCAGTATTTATAAATTGATGGCAAAATTTTTCTCTTTTTTTATGAAGCCAGAAAGTATAGAGTGCATATCTTATAATGATTTATTAAAGGTTGATGTCACAAATCCAGAATTCCATCATCTACCTAGCAAAGTAATATTTACTGGTGCAGAAGCTTCCACTCTCCTGAAGAAATTATCAAAAAATCATCCAATAGCAAAAGAATTCCAAATTTCTCTGATGAAAGCTTATACTAATACAGCACAGCATATGAAACAGAAATTACCCCTTAAAAATTCATATCTAATTAGTTTTACAGCATTAGATCCAGAGCTAAGAGGTAAAACCAGTACAATATTAGCTTTTGAAAAATTATCATCTTTTATGTCCCATATTTTTAGTGATAATGAAAAGTCAAAAGTAGAAGCTGAAATAAGGTTATACCAGAGTGATATTGATATCACCAAAGAAATGCTCTACACATCTGATGAAAGTGGAAATCAAGTCAAGTGTACAATTGATAAATATTGGTCTAAAGTTTTTAATTTAAAAGATGATTTCACAAATGATTATAAGTATCCTACATTGGCTAAATTGGTCAAAGCCTGCCTTAGCTGCTTCCATGGCCCATTAGTGGAAAGTGCATTCAACTTAATGGATACACTTGTCACTGACTATAGAACCTCTCTTAAGATTGATTCCCTAGATGCAGTGCAGACTATTAAATATGATTTAATGGCTTCTAAAGATCTCAGTATAGCAGGCCATAAAGCTTCTGTCACCTTTTGGAAGTTTCGCAGATGTTGGCGCAATTTCAACTTCACTTCTGACTCTGGAGGTTTGAACTTGAAACCCCTCCGAAACTCCAGGAACTGTAAACAGCGTTGCTGAATGAGTGGGACCAGTTGCCACAGGCACTGATAAACTGCCTTATTTCCAGTATGACATCATGCTGTGAGGCCTTGTATGGCTGTAAGAGGGGACCATACTCTATTAACCGATTTCTTTTTTGTCTTCTGCAACCGCTATTTCAGACGTTCAGACTCCCATGAGTATGAGTGTTGCAAACAGACATGTGTGTCTATTATAACTGTTGAATGTTTATTTTGTGTGTATTATATCAACCTATGTTCACACCAAATTTTATTAAAATCAGTAGTAGTTCTGAAGATTGTGGATTAAATATAAAAATTCTTTTAATTTATTTCACCAGTGTATAAAGGATGGTTTTCTTCCTCTAGGATCTTAATTTATATAGTTTAAAGAAAAAATATAAGTTGTACGTTAAATGAGTTGAATATTTTGTAAGGCAAAAAGTTTGTTCTGTGTTCGTGGTATTCATATTAAATTTAAAATATTAGTGAAATTTGTAGGAATAATTTATTTTATAACTAATAAATAGTTGTACTCTTTTCTAGGTGTTTCCAGTGGATTTTAAAGAAGTTCAAAATAAGCACTTGCTGATAGTTTTCAAAGAAAATATCAAACATGTCGTATAGAAATCAGTATAGTGGAAGTCCGTGGCAGCAAGGAGGTCCACCATTCGGAGTAGGAAGCTACAATCAGAGTTATGGTGGTTATAATGATCAGTATGGTGGAGTATCTCATCAGATGATGAATACCGGTTATAGTCGTAGTCAAGGATATGGAGGTGGTATGTACGGTGGAGGTGGAATGGGACAAATGAGAAATATGGGTTATGGTAGTGGACCATCTCCTTCTCGTCACTATATGAATGATAGGATGGGTGGAAGATCATTGCCTCGTGGTCAGTTGCCACGAAAACGCTTACCCCAGAGAAAGTCCAGCTAGTGGTCCTCGTTCTAAACGTCCTAATATTGAGAGTGATAGACGTGTTGCCAAGCCAAGACGACGACGTGATTCAAGAGGAGGCTCTAAAGGACGTCATGACCGAAGTGAAGATGAGGATGATGATGAAACATACAACCCTGAAGAACCTACAGATGACATTTCTGATATAGATTGTGATATGTTTGAATGTTGGAAGTCATCTGATGAAGATGGAGAACCAAAAGATGAGAAAGCTGGGGCTAAGGAAAATGGTGAAGCAGAGGCTAATGAAGAAGAAAGTGCTGACAAGGAAAAGGAAAAAGATAAGGATGCAAAATCTTCTGATGACTCAGCTCCTAAGAACCATTAATCTGTTACGTGTGCAAGGTTAAATGCTCTACTCGTGAAAGACTTACTAAGCATCAGAATAGTAAAAGTCATACATCCAAGATAGAGGAATTATTAGCAATTCGAAGAGAGAAAAAGAAGGATACTACTGATGATGACAAGAAGGATAAGGATTCAACCGATGACCGAAAGAAGTCTAGTCGTAAGCCAGGAAACTGGTGTACGGTTTGTGAATGTGCTTTCAGTGGAAACTTTCTTGCTCACCGGCGAACAAAGGAACACAGGAAGAAGCGAGACAAGAAATATCCTAAATGCCGACCATGTCGTTTGGGCTTCAGCAGTTCTGAGGAATATAGAGACCATTATAAAAGTGAAGAGCACAAGCAAAGATCTGCTGAGTTTCACTATTTGAAGAATTTAGCCTCTGGTTCAGATGAAGATGAAGCTGCTATAGAGCCAGTTAAAATAATTGAAGAAGAAAAGCCTGAAACTGTGGAAAAGATGGAGGAAGACACTGCTGAAATAAAAGAAGAAAAAGCAGATGGTGAGGCAGCGGCTGAAGATAAGGAAAAAGATAAGACTGAAGATGCTACTCAGGGAGATGATGCTAAAGAAAAAGAAGATGCTAAAGAGGAATCTAAAGAGAAAGAAAAGAAAGAAGAAAAAGAAAAGGATAAGGAAGAGAAGAAAGAACCCAAAAAATCAAAACCTAAAGAACCTAAGTCTGTTGGCCAGTCATTTGTTATATCTGTCCAGGGTTATTATTGTAAGCTTTGTCACAAGTTCTTTAAAGATGTTACAGTTGCTAAGTCAAAACATTGTCGTTCCATAATGCATAGTGAAGCATTTAAGAAAGCAATGGCTGAAGCTATTGAACAAGAAGAAGAAAGACAGAAACTTGCTGAAGAACAGGACAAACAAGATAGGGAGGCTGCTGAAGCTGCAGAACTTGCTGCTGAGATAGCTGCAGTTGAACGTGCTGCTAAAGAAGCTATAAAAAAAGAACTAGCTGCTAAGAAAGCAAGTCAGTCAAAGGATCAGGATGTGGAAATGAAAGATGTATCCGATTCTTCCAAAGATAAAGGGGGGAGAGATGGTAATGCAAATGAAGATGGTATTGAAAATGGCCTAAAAGATGATGGCAAGATGATGATGAAAGTGAAGAAACAAAAGAATCTGATGATAAAAGTAAGGAAGAGGAAGCTGGTAAAGAAGAACCTACTGAGGAAGAGCAAGAAGAAACTAAAGAGGAAGTTACATCAAGTCCAGCAACTAGACGTGGACGAGGGCGTGGTAGAGGGCGCAAAAGGCGTTAAAACATTTGTCACCAGGATGTGCAACTTTAGACATGCCGAACATGTTATGGTATGATAAGCATCCTCACAAAAGCCTATGCAACACAATATTATATAATTAAGAATTAAAATGTTGTGTCTTTTTTTTTGAGCTACAGAATGTAAACATCATCTGAATGTAAGGATTTTTTAATTTATGCTTTGTTTTAAATATCTTCATTTTATTGTTAATTTTGAAGGACAATTTCATACATGAAAGTGTTATGCATTAAAGTTAGTTTTCATAATGGGCAGGGAAAATCAGCATAAATGTAATTAAATGATGAATTTTAAATTTTCTTTCATTATCATTGCTTCAGTTCACATCAATTTACATAGTCATTCATTCCATAACATTGTTCCCTTAAATGTGACTTAAATTCAGCAGTGTAATGTGTCCTCTGTCTCTGTTACGTAGTATTCATCTGTAGCTTTTTAAAAGAAAGCATTAAATAAACCAGATTTAATTCACTAGAAATGTATATTATTGACATAACAGCCAGATGTTTTTAAGATGTGAATTTTTGATTTTGTGACAAAAATGTTTAAGCTTTGGAATGTGAATTTCTTTCACTTATTTGACTATGTGCCCTTCACCAATATTTATACTTCTAAATAGAAATAAAATTTTGTAAAACTCATTTTGCTTTGTAATTTGTATTTTTTTTTATTCCTTAAAACAACTAGTTAATATTACATTAGAACTTTATTATCTTTTTATGTTAAAATATGCAAACGAAGTTAAAAGAATAAGGTAAATAATAAGGTACCTGCTGACACATATTTTATTTCACAGGCAGCTAGGCAAATATAAGTAATCTCTCTAATATCACATCAGAGCATTAATTCTTGCATGGAAGAAACAGTATAATTTTTTTTAGCCACATTGTGACTGCCATACATGTTGTAAAAGTGTTATAACAAGTCATGCCGAGTATTAGTTGCATACTTTCAGACATTGATAAATAGCAGTGCGATGGCTTTTTAAGAGAAGTACTCGAAGAGACTATGGAAGTCTTGTACACTGATTCCAGTATTTTCTGGTGAGGGAATGAAAAGAAACATGCCCTGGTTGCCTAAAATCACGTTACTTTTAATCATTTTTCAATTCAATGAGCTAGGCAAGACGTAGAACAAATTATTCATCAAAATATTTATACACCATGAATTCAGTATTTTCTGTATGTATAATTTAGATGTTTTGTCTTTTCCCAGTAATTTTTCTACTTTTCTTGACTGCTGGTGACATTCTGTCTTATTATCTTGGACTGCTGATAAATGTGCATCGTCTCTTAACATCAGTTTGCAGCACTAACTGAGGCAACAGTCTTATTGGGAGGTATCTTGAAGTAATTTATTTTCTCATTAAATGTAAGAAACTCGTGCACAGACACGAAGATCAAACACTGAGCAATCTGACGAGAGGGATAGCCAGATCGGGAAACGCGCCACACATACCAACAGCCCGACTGGCTGTTTGTTACTCGTGTCTGCTCTTATTTAGAGACGTAATTTTCGCTCATGCTTTCCTTGTATCTCGAGGTTCCACTATACTGATAAAAAAGAACTTTAGTAAAAAAGTGCTTGACTGGTTGTCGAAAAACAGAACAGTAAAGGTGAGCCTCAAGCTGTATGGTGAGTGTCATAGTCTTCATATGATGGACTTTAGCAGGCTTGAAGATTGGTTTTGCAAGCAGCTTGAAAAAAGAAAGCTTAGAAGTAAAGGTGAGCCTCAAGCTGTATGGTGAGTGTCATAGTCTTCATATGATGGACTTTAGCAGGCTTGAAGATTGGTTTTGCAAGCAGCTTGAAAAAAGAAAGCTTAGATTTTTGGATCGTGAATTGTACATTCACCTTTTAAATTTAGCGGCTAAAGAAGTTTTTAGAAAAATTTGAATAATTTTGAATCATATACATACATGCTAGTTATCTTAAAAGAAATCTAGAGTCCTTGATCAGTAAAATCCACTTCGATTGAAAATAACTAATCCTATGAGCGATGCGAGTTTTTGTATCTCATGAAGGTCTGTATTTGAATGGTATTTATTAGCTGAACTTGGTAAATATATTTTAGTTTCTATTTTCATAAACTTGCATTCATTGATATGACATTTACAGTATTAAAGTAAGAAAACAAATTATCTTGTAAGCAAATGTATATATATATATAATGGCTGAAAAATTTCATGTCATTAAAATGAAAAGACTGAATTGAAAGATGCCTAAAATAAATGAAGCTTCCCCTGTTGTGAATAATGTCATCAGTAGCGAGTAAGTTCATTAGCAGTTCTCGAAAAATGTGAAATTGATACAATGAGGGAAACACATTAGTAAAGTTTATCTGGCCCCCCAAAAAATCAATATATTTCTCTTCAGCTTTGTATTTTCTGTATCATTCGATGCTTGTAATGCACTTCTGGAACGAAGAATTCCATTAATTCATGTTCTACATTTGGTGATTTCTTATGACACATTTTATGAAAGCTTGTAAAATAAACTTTTGCCGTTTGATTTGTGTGTTATGAAATAGAGTAAAATGAGAAATCGTAAAAGATATAGATTTGTTAATAGCGGTCACAGTTAACAGTAGTGAAAGCTTTCAGATGAAGGCAAAAAAAAAATGCTTAATTTTCAAAAATGAGGATGCTAATGTTGCAAGATAGCATAGATTATAGAATCAATAAGAATTATATCTTAATTGTAAGTCCTGGTGGAAGTATAGTGAGATATCTAAAATAATGTTGGCCAATAATGGTACAGAGTAGGGGTCTTCAACTTTCCATGCCGAGGGCCACATATGTGTCAAAAAATAGTTACTAAAATTGGTTCCTAAAAGTCAAATGGAAAACGAATTAAAATGTTTTAAAACTTTTTTTTTTAACTACGAAAGAAAAAGTATAAAGATGATTGTACAGAACTATGTTACAAAATGCATTTACAATAGGAAGGGAAAAAAAAAACATTACAGGCTGGAGGTGGTAGTTACATTAGTTTTAATGTGAAATTTGACATTGTTTTGCTGGTTTAAAGCTTCGATATCCGGTTTAATCTGTGTTGCAATTCGTAGAGTTTCCTCCAAATGTCTGTTAGCCGCATTCTTGTTTTTGATTTTAGTATTTTTGTTTTACTAAAAAGCTGTTCACATATGTAGGTACTGCCAGACTTCGAATGAAAAGCAATTAATGTAGGATTTTCAAGAAACTTGCATTTTACTGCAAAGTCACACTGTAAATCTATAAATTCTAATTGCATTTGGAACTTGCAAAAGATAAAGTGAAATTTTTGAAAAATTCAGCATTTTCAGAAAATTTAATTTCAAATAATATCAGGTATGTCAATAAAATGTTTTAAATATCATGAATAAGAGAAAAAAGTTTTTATGCCACAAAAAAGCTGACACGGCAATTTTTCTTGAAATCGGAAATTTTCAATTCTTCAAAATTAAATGTGGGGCCACTAAAATGCCTTCAACAGGCTATGGGTGAAGACCCCTAGTCAAAGAATCTAAGGAGAAGGATAAAAGCTTCCATAGACGCAATGTAAACCTGTTTTGCCTCTGCGCCGCTATACCGAAGAGCCACAGCTATGCAGTGAAACAACAGCGCATGATTGAATTTAAATAGTGCAGTCCAGGTAGATGGTAAATTTTTTACTTTGAAATAACTCAAAATGTTTTATTTTCATACATTCCCGATTATGAGCATAATAAAGTTAGTTGGAATTTTGGGCGAATTATAGAAATCCTATTCAATTTTTACTTTCAATTTAAACAGCGAGCCATACGAAGACATTTTAATGAAATAAATTTCTTAATACTTATTAGGATTCAGAGACTTGTTTTAGATAAATTGTGTAGTTGATCTTTTATCTTCTTATCTTTAATTGTATAGATATTTCGCATGGAACATCTTAAGATCAATTGCAAAATAAATAATAAAAAATCTGATGTGTACACCACATTACTTCCTTGTACGGAATATTTAATTATACTTCGCCGAACACCGCATAAACCACAATAGAATAAATGCATTCTTTAAAATTCACTTTGTTAACCATAGCGACACTCTGGCGCTAGGTTCACTTAACAGTATTATATTTCGTTCATATTATAACTCGGAATGCACAAAATTTATATCATTTAAGGAATTATCTAATCGTTGCCGCATGTTCCATTCAAATACAATAATAAAGCTAGAACGATGTATAAAAGAAATTAAGCAAACAAAACAAAAAAGTTTTCACAGACGATTGAGTATTTCTCATTCAATTAATTCAGTTTTCGCTTCGCGAGAAGGCAAAAATACATAAAAACTCAAAATATCTATTAAAAATTACGAAGTAAATATTAAACACTTATTTCCTCGAAAAAATTCCAGAAAGGATTAAGCATGATTTAAATAATAAATGAAGGCGTTATCTTTGTTTTTGCGAAGCTAAGTTTCTCTAGATTGGCAACAAATCCACTACTCTGCTGTTTCAAATGTAAACAAGCAATGGCCGCCATTAAAGAAATTATTAAGCTTAGTGGCACTTAAACAACTTTAAAATTGTTGATAAATCTAAAAATATTGCCTACAGATTTACTAAAGGCATAAAAACCTTAACCGGAAGATAAAAACAACATAATACAATCATTTTTAAAGCAAAAAATGTACAATTTACAAACATAAGAGTAAAGAAACAGATCACTGAGCCGGGTAACAGAGTGGATATATATATATATACGTTTGGTGCGGCCGATTGCAACCAAAATACGAGGTGCACATCTACATGTTATAGCAGTCCTATATACAAAATTTCAACGTTCTGAGGCTACTCGTTTTTGAGTTATGCGAGATACGTACGTTCGTATAGACGCCACGAAAAATTCTCTTCAGAATTCATTTTAAAGCAGTTTTATATATATATTTATATAATATATTTTTTTTCAGGAAAAGAGGTTTTATTCTGTCCTTACGTACAGATATCACGCAAAAACATCGTTAAATTGCATTCGATAGAGGTCAAAATGGGATATTTTCGTTGAAATATGCTGCCTGAAATTTTTCGCGATTACAATACTTCCTTTACGTCGTACATAAAGTAAAAAATGAATAAATTTTATTTTTTATATTCCTTTTTTCCCCTTAACCATCCTTTCTGTAAAACTATGTAATTGTTTTTCATTTGATATAATATCCAGCATTAATTTATAACTAATTTTAGAATTAATAGAAAACAAAATTAACTACTGCTGTGATGTTAAATTTCTAACAAATCTGCAATTAATTACATAAATAACGCTATTTTGTAATTCTTTTCATATCAAGCATATTAGATATAAAAAAAAAGAATAACACATTTTAAGTAAAACTGATATTTATAGACGTTGGTAAAAGCGCAGAATAGGCTGCATCAACAAAGTTCAGTAGGTGGAGCTGTGTGACGTACATAAATGGGTGGGACTAAGGTTGTGACGTCGTAATGTAGTCTCGCATTTACACTACGCATACATTCTATTTTCTCTTGAAAATAAAATAAAATAAAAAAATCTGAAATGTTTCAGATTTTAAATTACGTCCAAAGGGGCGTTTTTAACATTTTGTGTGTTACCTTTCTTTATTAAATATCATGTTCCTCGCACTTAAACCATAAGATCCAG